CCCCTCTGCATCTGCTTCGCGAATGCGAGGCAGTTGCGAGAAGACGGGAGAGACACCTAGGCCAACTCTGGCCAAGCGAGGAAGTCTTACAATCGCTAGCCCCCGGAGATCTCCTTAAATTTTTGGGTTCTCTGGGACTAGATGAGGTACTCTAAACAGTCGAGGGCACAAGAGATCATTTGGTCGCATTGCATACCTCTTCTTAATCTATCTATCTATCTAAGCTTACAATAATTACCACAAAGCTGAAAATGGGTACGAATGTTGCGAACACAATTATGAATGGAATATCAAAAGTCCCCATCGATCCCACGTCTTCGAAAAAAGTTATTCAAGGTTAAATAAATTGATTTTTTGCCTTTTTCGGCAAAACGGTGCGGCTTACCATAAAAATAGGTGAGACGAAAGTGTAGATCATACAATTATTTATAAAAACTGTTATAACACTTTTTTCCTAAGGATTGCCATTTCTGAGATATAGCTTTTAAAATTTGTAGTAAAAGGTTTGTACTCCATAATATGCAAATCATAAATTTGTATAGAAACTTTTTGTATCTCTACTTAAGTGCTCATAACTTCTACATTTATTATTCACTTTAGATGAACAGTTCCTTATTAAATTAAAGAAGGACCATACTTTGACGCGCAAGAATCTAAAAGTTAACAGATTCTTTTATGTTGATATTTTTACCGAAAGTAACTTTTCTTTTATTATTATTTTTTAATTATGCGAAAGTGTTGATGAATTAATGATTAGCTCCTAAACTACTACATGCGATAGAAAGAAATTTGAGATCCGCCAGTTATATAATAAAAAATATGCAATTAAGTGAGTGCACTTTTTCACATCTATATAATTTGGCTATATCTAAAAAACTATTGCAGTCTATCGTATTTTGACTACGTAATCAGATTCAGCGGAAAATTCTACATGAGAAGTGATGGTGTGCCACACACTTAATTAGATGAATTAGATGGCCTCGAGCTCATTATAAAATTGTTGAATATAATTGTTAAAAGGCCAAAAAATAACAAAAAACATGAATAGTTTTCTCTATTTTTTTTTTTTTAATTCATCACTTCCAATGGTACTATTTTTATTTCATGCAATATTAATAGGTAAACAGGACTACAATAAGTCGTGGAGTCGGCCTACGGGAAACCACGTTAAAAAAAAGCGCCAAATACATTACCCCACAAGTCCAGTGTAAATTGAGCATATTATGGAGAATACAATTTTTGAATCGCCATATCTCATAAATGGTAATTCTTAGGAAGAAAAATGTCTCATCTATTTTTGCGATAAACCTTACCGGTTTGCTAAAAAATTAAAAAAAAATTTATTTACGTGACCTTTGACCTTGAATAAATTCTTTGAAGACGTGGGATCGATGGGAATTTTTGGCATTTCATTCATGATGGTGTTCATAACACTCGTACCAATTTACAGCTTTATGCGGATTATTGTAACCTTGAATGTCTAACTTGACCGGGCTATTTGCGTTGTATGAGTTAGGACAGTTTTTAGGTAAATGAGCGTTATGTTCATTGATGCGACATTCATATTGATTATCGAAGATAATTTTCGACCCCAATATTTGTTGGGTAATTTTTTTAAATTTTTCAATGCAATTGAAAGGTCGAAATTCGGGTACTGTTTATGAATTTGTACAACGATTTTGGGTTGCTGTGCCCAAACGCGTGATTCGAATCAAAAAAACTTTTACACACACTTGTAGACAACAGTTCACGTCCCAACAAGCATTTCAGTAAATGTTTTTAAAAATAACTTAAAGTAAGTTTGCTATAATAAGCGTTAAAAAAGCATTTTTAATATTAAGCTTATTAAAAGTTTTTTTTCAAATAAACGTTTAATAAGTTTTTAGAGCGAATGTTTATAAATAACTTAAACTTATAAATGAAATGCAAATGCCAACGACATGAAGTAGTAAATATAAATTTTTTCAATCGTAAGTGACGTGTTTATGTTTTTTAAAATGTTTTATTAAAAGAAAAAAATTAAATAAAACCAATGCGGTAAAAAAAATCCAATCCAGGACCCGCTGCGCTAATCGGTGGAGCATTCGAGTCTTCAAATGATGAGTTTTCCTTATCCTTTCCTTTTTCAGAAAAGTTCATCAATGAGAATGGCGGCGATGAAGCGGAATATATAGCTGCATCGATGTCGTTTTTTCCAATTTGCCAATAACCGCTTGTAATTGAAAGCACGCAACAAGATATAATAATTAACTTTTTTATGCTTAATTTTTGTGTGTTATCGTGAATTTGTATGCTAAAATGTCTATTCCCTATTTACATTTTCGCGACTGTAGATGAGTCCGCCGAAAATTCGCATTTCTTTTAGTTTCTAGATGTTAAGCAATCTATGTATGAGTTTTTATTGAAATATCTTTAAATAAAGGGTTATAAAAATGTTTATAAAAAGCTTTTTTTTTTTAATTTTTAGTAAGTTTATAATCATACGCTTATAAACAAATTTTTGAACCTTTATTATAAGTTTACACTTTTACGCTTATAAAAAGCTTTCTTTTGAACATTTATTAAAAGTTTATATTTCTACGCTTAAAACCAATGTTCCTTTTCGATTATATTACGCTTACTTTCAAACGTTTTATAAACAAAAAATCAACGTTTTGTAAGCTTAATGTTTATAATTGAAAACTTAAAAAAAACTTTCTTTGAGTTTATTTTGCTTGTTGGGGTTTTATTACAAAAATTTAATTTACTAAATCTGTGCACTAATTTAACAATATTGTCGGTTGGAAATATGGTATTTGTTGCAAATTTTTGATATAAATTTGTATATACATTTTTATATACAAGATATTTTTATAAAACACCAAAATAGACATCACTGGGGCGGCAGCCCCAGGTTTAATGTACAATATGTACAAAGTACAAAACCGCGTATCGTCGTTCTGCGAAACCGCGTAACCGACATTGTTTGCCAAAAATTGGATTAGATAACAATACTTAAAACTTTAAACGACGATATGGGGATTCACTTGCTTATGGCCATAATAGACAGACGTTTCAATGAAAAGTGTTTATGTTTTTTTTGGTTTTGTTGCGATTTAGTTTTTATTATATATTATTTTTTATCAAATTTTATTTTTATATTTTCTTTGCAGGTCGTGGAATACAGACAGTACAAGCCAGCGGAGATTATATATATAAATTTTATCTGTTATTAATTTTATTACTATAATATCTAATATAATAATAATATTATAATAATAGTATTATAATATTATTATTTATATTACTACTTTAATTGCTATTATTATCATTATTAATAGAATTATTATTAGATCGTACCTTTACACCATTATTTATTACGGTATGCATAAAAGAACGCTTTCTAACCTTATAAGTAAGGAAAAAGCTTATTATAAAGCAACAGTTGCGAAGTTTCGCAAACTGGATGAACCGACTTCTGGGTTAGAAAGCGATGATATTCCATCCACGAGTAGAGAAGCATTTTGCCGCGGAATAAATAGTGATCTAACGTCCAGCACTATGGAAGTGTTTCCTGAATTAGATACCGATGAATATAATAGCGATGATGACAGGTTTTTGTTTGAAGATGTCGAAAGTGATGATAGCACTGAAGAATCTGCAAACAAAAACCTAAGCGAGGAAATTTGTAGGGGGTTAAAAACGTGGGCAATCAAAAATAATATTTTGCAAAATAGCCTAACGGACCTCCTACAAACCTTACATAATGCTGGACTTAACGGGTTACCTTTAACTGCAAGAACCATTTTGGGAACAAGTAGAAAAATAGTTCAAATTCGACCTTTTACTGAAGGTGAATTTTTGTATTTAGGAATACAATATAATTTTAATTTCAAAGATTTTGATTTTTTAGAAAATACGGAAAGAATTTAAATAGATGTCGGTATAGATGGTTTGAAATTATTTAAAAGCTCTAATAGGGCATTGTGGCCCATTTTGGGGCATGTAGAAGTTTTTCCTAATTCGATCACATTTACTATTGCCTGCTTCTCAGGAATGAGTAAGCCATCCCATGTTAATAATTTCCTTGCTGAGTTTTGCCAAGAGATAAAAATTCTAAGTCAGAATGGTGTAAGGGTGGGATCTAAGCAGGTTTTAAAAGAATTTAGTGTAAGACTTTTTACATGTGACACACCAGCTCGCGCCTTTATAACTGGCGTGAAGTCACACACTGGGAAAAACAGCTGCCCTGAATGTCTTCAACAAGGACAGTATTTACAAAGAAGGGTCTGTTTTTCTCAAAACGTAGGAGAATTAAGAACAGATAGTTCGTTTAAAAATAGAGTAGATATAACCCATCATTTAGACGAATTTAGACAGTGTGAAATGTTGCTAGAATCTGTAAATATTGGCATGGTTTCTCAATTTCCGTTAGAACCCATGCATTTAGTTGACTTAGGAGTAACTAAAAAACTACTCCAGTTGCTTATTAAAAGAGGGAACGTAACAAAGATGAATGAAAAAATATTGTTTCTGAATAAGTTCGTTCCCTCTGAATTTTCCAGACTCAGTCGAGATCTAAATGAAATAAGCAACTGGAAGTCGACAGAATACCGGCAATTTTTATTGTACTCGGGGTTGTTTGTCTTGAAAGACTGCATACCGAATAACTTGTATTACCATTTTCTTTTGTTGCATGTCGGTAGTCGCCTTCTCTCTTGTGAGAAGTCTTGTCAAGTAGAATCTAATGTCGCTAATGAAATGTTAAAAGAATTTGTAAAGTTGTTTAGTAATTTTTATGGCGAACATTTAATCAGTTTCAATGTCCATGGTCTTTTGCATTTAAGTGATTGCGTTAAACAATTCGGTCCTTTAGACAATTTTTCTGCATATAAATTTGAAAATTATATGCAATATTTAAAAAAAATTATTAATAATCCAAATAAAATATTGCAGCAACTATTTCTAAGAATAGAAGAACGAAGAGATATTACGGATTCTAGCAAAATTACACAAATAGATCAGTTTATTATAAATTGTAAAAAAGAAAAAGATAGTTTCTTCTTTAGTAAAAAAACGGGATCCCTAAAAATTGTCAACCAGCAAACCCAAACAGACAGTTTTGGCGTTGTAGTTTTGACAAAGGTTGGGGACATTTTTAGGGAGCCCGTGGTGTCCTCATCTGTAGCCCGTTTCTGTAACTTTTCTCTACCGATTATTTCTCTACTGGTAGAGAAAATACGTCATTCTCACCTACTAATTAGCAGTAGAGAACAGGGCGGCGAATTCATATCTCAATTCGCCTTGGTAGAGAATTGTTACAGAAACGAGCTACTGATTTAGGTATTTTTGTAGCTCAAATTATAGATGAAGACATTCAAATTATTAAGAGAGAAGATATAGACCATAAGTATTTTGCTATTCCAGTAGGGAATACATTTATTTTAATTCCTATGTTACATAACTTATTTTTATAATTTTACTTAGGAAGAAATGGAATTCAGTTTTATAATTGATGGAGAGGAGGAGCCGGATATCAGTCAGGCAAATGGTAAGAAGAATCAGTATTCATTATATTAGTGAAACTCTCCTAATTGAAACGTTCTCATTGTAGCTGGAGTATCTCGCCGTTTCGACGGGTCCCAGCCTTTCCTCGACCGTATGGCCACCCAACCTGCCGTGGATAATGACTCAGGTACATTAAACTAGCAACATACATATGTTGATTGAATTTTTAATTTACACATAAATTTTATGAAATTCAACAGCGCAACAACAAATTTTGGCTGCCCTTGCAAGAGTGGAGACTCGGCAAGAAGAAATATTAAAAAGGCTTTCCGCCGTAGAAAACGCCCTTGCCGAGAAGGTAGGCTTTTTAAATTTAACAAATGTTTAAACTTTGTTTTACACTTTATTTTATTTTCAGATGCCCGAGCGTTGTGAAGTTCAAGCGCAGGGTCAACTGCTGCGTGAATGTAAGGTGCTCTCTGCGAAAACCCACCGCAGTGTAAGCCGAATCACCGGTGACTTGGTAAGTGAAGAGCAAACTTTACTGCAAAGTTTGCTACCAATGTCATCGGAGGAAACACTGCATAAGGTGGAGGAGCACCTTCAAAACAAGGCACACGCTGACGCTATGGTAAGTTACAGTTCTGCTCAACGACGAGTATAGTTTTTTCTTTTATCAAATATATATATGTATATATTTATATGTATAAACTCTAATACATTTAAAGGCGGGCATCATCATGCAGCTAAAAACATCCAGGGGTACAGTGGAGAAAGTGCTGCAGTCGTTATTCAGCGACGAGTTGGTGTGGCTGTACAACTTCGATGGAAAGGCAGGGAAAAAGGCACTAATAAAATTAAAAACTGTCGACCTGGTTCTCGGTAAGTATTAAGATATTTAAACAGTAGTACACTACTAATTTTTAATTATTAACAGCCGCATTCGCAACTATGCACACTGATAAAATTTTAGCAATTAAGCACTATGTAGTTTTAAGCCACAATAGATATAAGCAAATTAGAAAAAAATGCGAAAATAGTAATTAGTAATTAGTTTTTCTTATTTTCTCTATAGTGTGCTTCCCAATTATACATCACCCACTTATTGAGAATTAGCGACCAATAATTTGTTTATTTTTTATAATTTGATAATTTTTATAATATTTGTATGAAAAATTAAGTTCATTCTTTAACAAACACCATATCGACAGCCGGTTCGAAAGCGGTCATTCCCGGAATTCGGTTGAAGAACGCCCTATCCCAGAATTTGGTCCAAAAAACTTGGTATCTCAACTGAAAAAAATGTATGTACGTATATTAAAAATATGTTAAGATAGGGCGTTTTTGAATCGGTAATTGAGATAGGGCGTTCTTCAACCGAATTCCGGGAATGACCGCTTTCGAACCGGCTGTCGATATGGTGTTTGTTAAAGAATGAACTTAATTTTTCATACAAATATTATAAAAATTATCAAATTATTGGTCGCTAATTCTCAATAAGTGGGTGATGTATAATTGTGAAGCACTCTATATAATTGATTCGTAAATGTTAATATTAAAAAAATAATAATAATAAACTGTAAATATTAATATACAGTGGTCGAAATAATTATAGCCGCACCACATTTTGACAAGTTTTAACATATAATTTTTTTTGCTATTTAATTTAGGTTATTTTCTTAAAAAAATATAGTTCATTCTATAACTAAACCCGTGTAAATCCAAGTTTCTAGTAAAACAAAGTACAAGTGTTAAATGCTGAGAACTTCAGAATCTTTATAGAGAAAATCTAAGTAAAAACGCTAGAAATTTTTACAAATATTTATTGAATTTTTATTTAATATTGTACAAAGTTTGAAACTTGGATTTACACGGGTTTAGTTAAAGAATGAACTATATTTTTATAAGAAAATAACCTAAATTAAATAGGAACAAAAATTATTGGGTTGTTCACACTTTCACATTTTCAGTACTGTATATATTAAATGTAGATATTAAAAAGCAAAATGTGTTTAGACGCGACTGCTAACACCAGGCGCCTAAATGCATGCTATGT